GTTCCAACATTGCTCGAGCATCCCCTGACGCTAACTCCAAACGCCTTTCCCTTATCAAAATGGTTTCTAATATCTTTTTCCAAAAACCTAATGTTTTCATACCCAGCATTTTGTTTGGCCATTGCAGCAAAAATCTTACTTGTCTTTACCCCAAGTGCATGCAAAGTATTAAACTATTAATGCTATGCCTGATAGTAGGAGTGATACTCCTATGACACGGCAAATACTGTGTATAGCTAGGAAAAAGTTCATGGTTACGTTCCCTGATTAAATCATGAATAAATCATTTTCCATCTTGTTTTCTCTTTACATGTAAAATTGCTTTACAATCGATCCTCAAAGAAGGTTTTGCATTAAAAGCACCATACTCTCATCTAAGCCCATGCCTTGTAAATGCAAGCTATACATCAATAGATCCCCCACTTGTCCTCGACTTGCGGCTAGCTTTTGTTGAGACACCAAATCCCGTAGACTTTGCATACTTTAAGTAAAATGAGTATGCTTCTTGATGTGAATCAAATTCCATACCACCATAAGGTTGTAATTCTTGTTCCATTTCCTTATCTTTTTCACCATCTATGATATTTTCACCTCCACATGGAAACTTCTCATTGTCACATTCTTCATGGGTTAAATTCAAATAAATATTTAGACCCATGTTTACCTCATATAAGAGAAAATATATATAATTATAAACAACCTTTCAAAGTATAAAATATTTATATATATATATAAAAAGAATTGTCTTCAAATGATAAAACATAACCAAATCAAATCACTCAAAATTAATAACAAATAAGAAGATGAGCATTACATTGTGGCCAACTGGTTTCTAAATAACCATGCATTGTTTTCAATATCATAGGTGTGTATATGGGTCTTCTAATTCTATAATTTTAATTCATAGACACAATTAAACATAACAGCCAAAATGAAATAACTCCAATCTGGTATACATATATTACATTGTTGCAAATTTGCAATGGACAACTGGTTCACTAATGTCAAAGCTTAATAACTTGAACAAAAAATATAACACTCTACTAATTAATTGCACGGACAATCACAGGCACAGACATAAATAAATAAATATATATATACAGAGAGAAATCACCCAAAAAAAAAATTCAGGACCTAATAAAACTTTATGGTGGATAAATAATTTTATTATATATATGGTATATTTTGAGCTCTTGGTGTTAAAGCACTTCGATAAGCAAATATGAGAAAATCAACTAGCCAAAAACTCTAACAACAATTGAAAAATTGTAAAATTATGCATACCCAAAACATTGATTAAATCGACACTTTCACATGAGAAAAAATCCAAATTAGACGCTAACCAAGAGCAAAATAAAAAAATTTAGAATTAGAATTCTTACCGGAAACAAATCTGAGTTGTTTTCGCCTGAGAAGAAGGAAGAATCAAGCATCAAGGCATCTCCGAACAAAGTCGTAAAAGGGCTGTAGCCTTTTAGGTAATGGTTACGGTGTAGTTCCTTTAAGAGAAAGAGTTGGGGATAACTAGCGCGTAATGAAAAGTCTCTAAAATATTTTTCGGCGCCTTTTTTTTAAACAAAGGCAAATCAACACATTGTTTGTAAACACGTGACTTGAAATAGCGGTAAAAAAATAGGAAGTTAAATCCATTTAAAACTATCCAATAAGAGCTGCATTTGCGGATCCACAGTCGCACTTGTAACTGTGTTTAGCAATCTTCTTTATAATTTGGTGGCCTAATTTTGATGACCGACAATGGAGCGGATTAGGTGGCCAAATTGGACTAGGCTCGCCTAAAAACTAGGCTTGGAGCTGCTCTTATTCCGTTGGCCAAGATGCCCTTTGGTAAATTTGGGTTAGAAAAGGTGAGAAAGTCACATATCTTTTCATTTTATGATAAAGGCCAAATTGTAATCTTATATATGAGTATTGGGTTTTTAAGTCTTTTCAAACGAGTAAATGTAAATTTGTTAATCAAGAAATAATTTTGAAAGCTAGATAATAGGATGGACAGTTTGAAATCACATGCCCAACTTCAGATAAATTAGTGTATGTTTTAGCAAAAAATTGGCCATATAATAAGCGTACAATTCAATGATGTCAGCATAATCAATCCTTTTTTTTTATTATTAATTTTCACAATATTCTTAAAAAGACTTAATCCTCCTCCATCTTTTACTTTGAAGAAAAAAAAAAAAAAAAAATAGGTTATTAGTTGTTAAAATAGCATGCACTAAACATTTTTAAAATGCCCTAATTCTTCTTCTTCTATATATACCAATCCTCGAATTGAGGTTGGTCTGGCCACACAAACCAATTCCTAAGCCAAACAGGACACAAGAAAACCGGTAAAAAATGCCCTAATTTAATTTATCTTAATTCTTGTTAACAATTTTTTTCTTCTTCTCAATAATTTGATTTATACATAATCAAACCAAATAACACTTGGGCTCCTTTATTTTCTAGTGTTTGATTGTCGTAAAATATTTACTAAGAAATTTTTTTTAAAAATTTAACAAAAATAACTTATTCATCAATTTTTGACAAGTTATTTTACATGTCCCGCCCGATGGACTAGACATTAATCTCAACATAGACTTTTGTCAAATACCAATAAAGTAAAAATAAAAAAATATTTTAGTTAAAAAAGAAAAATATTTTTCAAAAATAATATTTTACGTCAAAACAAACAGATCTTGATGTTCATTTTGAAGTTCAAATGAACATGGTGGAGCCAAAAAATTTCAAAAGGCCAAAGTAGTAATATAAAATTATATATTTTTTTTTTTAAAAAGAAAATAATTGTAACAAAATTTTTTTGAATGCATTTTTAACGTATATTTTTTAAAGGGTAATTTATACCGACCCCCCCTATAGTTTGCCCTAATTACAGGGAACACCTTTCCTGTTTCAGAAATTACACGGACCTCCCCTACTTTTGAAAATATCCTACACGAACCTACCCTACTTTTGAAAATATTTTACACGGACCTCCCTTATGTGTGATGGACTGTTAAATACACTAACGGACTTGGTTAATTTACTGAAATACCCTTAATTTTCTATGGTAAATTACTGAAGGATATATATATATATATATATATATATAGAGAGAGAGAGAGAGAGAGAGAGAGAGAGAGAAAAAATTAAATTAAATTAAATTAAATCTTAAACTGTTTAGGGCCACCACCACCAATCACTATGGGCGCCACCGCGACCACCACCACCAACATCTCAGTTTTCCTCTATCTTTGTGTGTGTGTGTATGTGTGTGTGTGTATACATATATATATATATATATATATATATATATATATATATATATATTTGTAGTGTATGCGCAAAGTTAGAAAGTGAGGAGAGAAAGAGAGATAAACAGTGCGTGAGGTGGAGGAAGAGGTTGCCGGAATGATTCGCCGGTGGGTGAAGGTTGGCAGCGTCAACGACGGTTCATGAATTGGGTTTTCTTTAAGGTAAGCCAATTCATGAACACAGACCTCCCCAACTACGGTAATTTGCAGAAGTCAATGGTTGAAAATTTCTATAACAACAAATCACACACACAATACATTAGTATACATTAGCATTGTGTTCAAGTATAACCTCTCTCTCTATCAATTTTATGTATTACAGAACCTCAAGTAAAATGCTATGAAAAGTGCAAGGTAAGTCCAAATAGTATATATACTTCATTATCATCATCACTATGTCTTTAAATAGTGTATTGGGGTGATGGAATATGTGATGAGTAAAACAAAAATCAAAATAAAATTTGATTGTCGTGTTTGTATAATTTTTGTTTCCAAAGATGAAGCATTCCAATTGAGCCAAATAAGGCTCAATTGGAAAATTCCCTTATTTGTTTATTTGGAAAATTCCTTTATTTGTTAGTCCATTTTCTACAACTTCAAATAATTTATTTGTTTTGGATGACAGATCAGCTATCATCCTTCTTGACAAAGCAATTCTCAATAAAGACCCAATTTGTTATTCCCCCTTAAATAATTGGGCAATTCCAATCAGAAAAATTCTTAAAACTAATCACTTTTCGATTTTGGCCACTAAGCAGTTCCGATCTCTGATCTCTGATATATATATATATATATATATATATATATATCTTTTAAATATAAAATAAAATTATATAGACAAGGGTATTTTAGAAATTTTAGTAAAAATAGTAGATGACGTCATCAATTTCTGTCGTTGACTGGCGTTGACCGTAACGGAAGGGAGGTCCGTGTAAGATATTTTTAAAAATGAGGGAGGTCCACATAATTTCCGAAACAGGAAAGGTGCTCCCTATAATTAGGACAAACTATAGGGGAGGTCTATGTAAATTACCCTTTTTAAAAATATATCTATAAATAATACAAGAAAAATAAAAAGAAAAAATTATTTAAGATAAATGAGTTTTTTTTTTTTTTTGGCTGGCACCGGAACTCACCTAGGCAGGCCCTTCGGGACCCACCCCATGCTATAAACTGAGAATGCTGTCAACGACTCCACACCTCAGCAACAATTTCAATTGAAAGTTATAATAGCGATGGACAAATTCGAATCTAGGACATGAGCATTCCCAACTCGATCAACCCCGAGAGACGGATAAATGAGTTTGTCAATTTGTCTACAACTCATGTTTCTTCTCTTTAATCATAAAAAAATAATTTATATAAGTGTCAATTGTAGCAGGGATTGCAAGGCGTTTTCTATTAAATTTTAAAATTTAAAAGGGTAAAAACTTTGAAAAGATTACAACAAGTATTTCATTCACAAACAATCTTCGATCAACATAGATAGGTAAGTACAAATGGAAACTATATATATCATTGAAAAAAAAATAATTAAGTGAAAATAGTTCGTCCAAGCAAAAACATAATAATAATTATTGTTATTTTTTATCTAAAAAAAGTGAGGCATTTAGGCATTTCTGTGGGGGCATTTAGGCCAAACTAGTCCACTTATACGAAGCCCTAGCGAAATTCATCCCAGCCACTTTATATAACACACCACAAAGCCTAGGGTTTTCATTCTGCCACAAAGAGACGCCAAACCAGAGAGCTCTAAGGAGGAGAAGATGGTTAAGTTTCTTAAGCCGAACAAGGCAGTCATCGTCCTTCAAGGCCGATACGCGGGCCGGAAGGCCGTGATCGTCCGATCCTTTGATGACGGCACACGCGATCGCCCGTACGGTCACTGCCTGGTGGCCGGAATATCCAAGTACCCGAAGAAGGTGATTCGCAAGGACTCGGCCAAGAAGACCGCCAAGAAGTCGCGCGTGAAGGCGTTCATCAAGCTGGTGAACTACAACCACATCATGCCCACTCGCTACACTCTCGATGTGGATCTGAAGGATGCGGTCTCCGTCGAGGTGCTCCAGTCCCGCGACAAGAAGGTCACGGCTGCAAAGGAGATCAAGTCCAGGTTCGAGGAGCGCTTCAAGACTGGCAAGAACAGGTGGTTCTTCTCCAAGCTCAGGTTTTGAGCATTAAGGGTTTGTTTCTTTCTGTTTCCAATCATATGTAGTGGCTACCCATTTCATGGTTAATTTGAATTTAGAAATTTTGTTGGATGTTGTGGTGTTGACCTGAAATATGTCGTTTGAGTTTTTATCCAGTGTTCTAGAAATATGAATTTGAAATATCCTGTTTTTATTTTGGATTTAAGAAATTGGGTTCTGTTGTGTGGATATGATGCTTCTTAGCATGCTAATTTAACTGAGAATTGTGGTTTTTGTTTGAGTTTCAATGGAATAGGACCAACTTAATAGTTGGGAATCTAGGAGCAGAGGCACTTGGGTATCCATGCCATACTCATTTGGTGGACTGTTTATTATTATTAGCAATTGTTGCTTGGAGTCTGAGATTTTCATCACAAGTAATATGATGATTTCACTTAGAAACCAAAAGATTATTTAAAATGGCCACTTTTGATACATAGGATTGAAAAGAAACCATAGAAATGCCTTCATGTTACCCGTAGATGCATTGGTGAGAAGAGGTAGATTAGTTTAGTTTGCATGGAAGAATGGAGTCGGCTGGCAACTAAAATTATCGTGGAATGATTTGAAAAAAATTAAATAATAAGGGTAATTCATGTGGAGTGATTTGTGTGTGATTTGCAGTTAAATTGCTTTTTAAAATAAGTATAGTAAATTGATATGTTTGTTGAAATTGACTGCAAACAATAGACCGACTTTAATTATGTTGGGCTTGTATCTTTTCAATGAACTATGGACAAGTAGAGTTACTGAGCTAGTTTTGGCTGATTGTTGGTCTACCATGTTTGTGGGAAGCGTTTTTTTTATGTTGATCATCTAGATCAGTTTGCACTTTGTGGATTGAAATGTTTATCTGGAGATTTTTGCAACAATCTTATGTTTGAATGAGAGACGAGTTTGGTATTTTTGGCGACTTACAAGTATTTGAAGTAGAGTAAAGCAAGTTCAGGTTTAGAAATATCTAAGATTAGGGATCTCAAAAAGTGGTACACTTTTTTATTTTGTAGTGAACTAGAAGTCTAGAAGGATTTGTCATCTCGATCTATGTATCTCTGTAACTCTCTCTTCCTTCAGCATATTGCCCTTTATCCGAACACACCATTTTTCAGAAGTGCAGCTATGGCCTTTCATTGAACACTGTCAAATGATCTTTTTCATCCCCTGGTCCCAAAATTCATAGTCATTTAATGAATGCTTACATTTTTAATGTATGTTACTCCTAGATTAGTATTTTGGAGACACGCATGCTTTGTATTAATCTTATTATAATTCAGTGATGTTATAATTCTATGATTAACATCATTTCATGGCTCTTTGTCAATAGGCAGGCAATGTAATGGAAATGCTCACCTTTTGGTAATCCTTGACCTTTGATTTCATTGCATCTCTACTTTTCTTTTTAGTTTTGCTAAAGTTATTTTTCATATGAATAATTTTAGACTTTTACCTTGAATCCTTTTGATTGCAAATCTTAAATATTTAATTTATCTGTTTTTCTCCCTAGTTTCATTAGAATATATTATCATCACAGACAATAGCACAAAAATTTCTTGTCAAGGCTCTTTCTTCATCAACGCTCTGGTCCTTTATCTGGGCCCTATTCTGCTCCTTTTCAGCATCATGTTTGCAAATTACATCCTCTCATCAGTATTGCAATTGTGGGTTTCTTGAATGTTTCTAAACGCACTGTCATGAATCTTCTGATGTGAATGCCTTGTGAGGGTCATATACATTCTTAAAGGATTAGCTGCTCTAACAAGTAAATTTCACCATAATGCATGGCCAACCGTGTGTGTGTGTGTGTGTGTGTGTTTTTAGCACAGTTGATTTGTGTGCTGGGAAATATCTATGTACTTCTCAATTCTGCTGTAGCATTGTTTTTAGATGCTCGAGTGCGCCAAGTCGCTAAGACTTTTTGTACGTGAAGAATTTTTTTTTTTTTTGTCAAAATCAAACAAAATCAAAGAATTTTTAGCATATCAATTCGATAGATTAGTAAAATAGTGTATACTGAACATGATCAAGAGGTAACTATCATCCCATAACTTTTAAAAAGTAAAAATAAAATGAAATTTACATGACTTTGACTTGAGTTTTGTTCATGAAATTTGTCAACACAAGTCCTATTGACCTTTAGAATTAGTTTTTACTAGACCTACTCAATTCATAAGAGTTACGTGAACCGACTAAAAAAAGGCAAATAGAAGTTCACTAATTGTGCGGTTTCAAGCTGCAACGACACTAGACTATGGCAAGTTACAAGACAATAATGAAATAGTTTGTTTTCATGAGTAAATTTCCACAATTCATAGATTTCTTAAGCTATTTGGTTTCATAGATTTCTTAAGCCATTTGGTCTGCAACAACACTGGACTTTCATGGGTAAATTTCCACAATTCATAGATTTCTTAAGCTATTTGGTTTCATAGATTTCTTAAGCTATTTTGGTTGAGAGCGGTTATGGAGCTTGTGAAGGACATTGGAATTTTTATATTGCTATTTGAATTTCGCAAGAACAATTTTGTGCCAAGGTATTTATTATATTTGAAAAGCCCTCCAATCATTTGTAACAATATATATATATATTTTTAATAAAAAAAAAAAATACAAGATAAAAACACTTGTGACGTTAGTGGGTCACTCCTTTGAATTATATATCTTTTAAACTCTCAATATATTTGTTAAATGGTTGTAGAAAACTCTTTACATATTTTACAATTTAACACATAGACGAGAGCAAAACATCTCACAACAAACAATTCACCCTATAATCTATACATCTTATTATCAAGTCACACTTCTATTACGCTCAGTTGATAGACTACAGAGGACAAATCCATTCTCCATAATGGACGGTTAGAACGCATCACAATCCATGACTACAATTTACCCTCTAGAAATTTCTAAGTATCTAGATATTTACCATCTCAACAAAATTTTCTAATATTCTATAATATTATCTAATCTACCCTACAAACTTTCTAAAATCCCAACTCTGCTTATTTGTTAGTGTCTTTTGGTGTTTATTATCTTTTGATCAATGGTATTTGGGGGTTATTGTAACATGCCCTAATTTGAATAAATTCGGATCGGATGGTGCGGTGACTTGAAATAGAACAAAGGCACATGGTTACAAGGTACTTGATGTAAACGACCATATGATGAAATTAGACATGTATGGTTGCTCTGTTTTTGACCAAGAGGGGTAACTTTAGAATCAGTGTGTATGAATTGTTTTGATTTGGAAAGGCGGGTTCGGGTTGATAATCCATCCGTCCAACCCCAACTCAAATTAAGGCCCGGTTGAGTATCTAATCCAAGTCCAACCCAAGTAGGGAATGAAGCGGGCCAAGCCTAATCAAAAAGTGGGCTGAGCTTGGGCTTGCGGCCCCAAGTAAATCAAGATATTAGTTGTTTGGATCAAATCTTAAACTATAGTAGAGTCAATGAGAATGTACAAGTCCCTATTTCCCTAGTTAATGAGCTTTGCGGGCACACACACACACACTGACACACATATATATAAAAACACATAGATTTACACATATTTATGTATATGAGGGTATTCAAAGCCAGGCTGCCAAGTCTTGCTAGCAAACACTGTCTGCGTTCTGCAATATCAAAAAATAATGATGGCAATTTTCAGGACTTGCATTTAAGGATATGGTTGAAGGAGGACTCATTGACCCTCTTTCTTCTTTGTAAAGCTTGGATTGAAGTACACCATTTGCGTACATATATTGCACAGTGTGTGCTTTTCAAGTGGCAAATTCAAAGTTTCTACTACTAGCTAGCTGTCAAGTAATAAACAGGTCTTCAATTATCAATATAAAATAAAGAACTTGATTCCATATAAATAATATATTTCTTTGAAACTTTACATGATCAAATTTAAAAAATATCTTGATTTTTATTTTTGGGTTTCCTTGTGATGGTTTGGATAAGATTAGTCTATACAATTGTGGGAAATAACAAAAATCTTATTGAGAAAGGGGTGTTCCTTTCCACTCTTATCATCTTAACAAAAATAAGAAAGAAAATCACCCGAAGAAAATAAAAAAAATTTGTGTCTGCATTCTCTAATATCAAAAAATAATGATGACCCTTTGCAGGACTTGTAAAATAACTTTTATTTTATATCGGAACAAAAAACTCTTTCAATTTGATGACCTTTAATACTACGCAACGAAGTTAAAGTTAAACTCGTATAATCAACCATATACCACACATCATTTAAATTCAAGTGTCTTTAGACCCCTGCAAGTGTTAAACTTATAACGTACAGTTTGCCTAAACGTGCTCTTGTTAACCCTACCTAAAAGTTAGACTGCAACATTTTGTGCCTGTTTATCTACCTTAATGAAGAAGTGAGAATATAAGAAAAATAACAAATATTATATATATGCATGTATGTATGTATGTATGTATGTATAAGGGGAGTGTACCATGAATGTAGTAGACCGAGGCAAACATTATCTTCCCCTGGTGATGGGAGTGGCCCAAGGCCTTTGAATGCAGTTCCCTTATTGTCTATGAACCTAACGGTCAAATTTGGCAGACATGTAAAGCTAATAATATCTTTCAAAGTGTCCTAAGCACAAGTAAGGTATGTTTCCAATACAAGAAATAATGATAGCTACTCACCACTCCGACCCCAGGAAACATCACTGTGAATTGTCACAGACAACTTTAAGAAATATATATATATATATAAATAAAATTAGTTTTCTTTCATTTCATGTTAGCTTTTGCTTTTTTGAGTCCATTTTCATTATCAACACATACACACTTCTCTTTTTCCTGCAAACTATTATTATAGTAGGAATCTCATTCATCACATTCACAAAGTTATGAGACCAATCTTTGAAAGTGTCAGACTCACTCACTCTTCTTTGTTTTACATATTTGAGAGAGAGAGAGAGATTCTCTCCAAGCAGGAGTAAAAAAGGGGCTAAATCACATGTACAATACAATCACTAATTGCCCATAGAACTTTTAGTTGAAAAGAAAAAAAGAGAGAAAAAAAGAAAAAAGAAAAAAAAAGGTAACTCCACAAGTCAAGGTGCTTCAATTGCCCTTAAAAGAGGGGGAACACATACATGATCCTTTTATTTTTTATATATATATATATATATATAATTGAAAAAAATAAACTTGACTATTAGTATTGTGTTACCAATTGATGTGTC